TCCCAGTCCGGAATAACGAAAATTCCGGGGCTGTTCTGCTCTACTTTCATCGCATCCTGTAGAGCCCGAACTTCAGCCAGGTCTGCCGCATCATTTGGATTGGCGAGAGTGCGGATGCCGACGAAAACGTAGCGTGTGCCAATTGCCTGACGGGTCAACGTGTGAACGCCGCCGCCATAGTGGACTCCATGAGTGTAGTGGTCTTCGTCTATGATCTGAAGTGAGAGGAAGCGTTTACCCGGGGCTGGCAATGTCAACTTTACCGGACCGGCATCGAGGTCAAAGACACCACCTGAATAGAGCGTATCACGATTTAACCGGATGATCGGCTGCGCTTCTATCGAGGCCATGGCCCGCTCATGACCAAGATGCCCGAGCCCATAGCGGGTGACGGTATTGGCAAAGTAGAGGTCGCTTTCAGCCCGGACGAAATTGTCGCTGTTGACTGTTACCGACTCAGCGCTCGCCGGGGACGCCGAGGCTGCGGCGACGATCAACGCGATCAACAAGCTCAATTTTTCCAGCATGGTCCCTCCTGCCACCGATACCCGACGCCGTGGATTGGGCGTTTCGAGTTGATTGCTTGCCTACCTCAGCGTCATCGGTTGAACTGTGCCGAATCGGACAGTTAGGGAAATTTCATGGTAAGGCCGGGAACCGCGATCCAAGAGGTCCTCTTGCATGATGGCTGGCTCTCTCGGTTACCTAATCAATTTCAAGCCGATGTCTTGGAACTTGGGCGGCTTCAAACCTTTGCGCCGAGTGAAGCGGTCTATCGAATAGGTGATCGTGGCGGAGGGGTGTACGGCCTGGTCAGTGGAACGCTGTCGATCAGTCTGGCGCCTTCGCACGCCGCGCCACGCTTCGTTCTTTTTGGCATCGTTGGTGCCTGGGCCGGAGAGGGGCCATTTTTTACAGGCGAACCTCGTCGTGCGGAGATGCGGGCCGTTACCAGCTGCCAGCTATTTCACCTGTCTTTGGAGGCGATGGAACGGCTGACTACACTTGATCCAAGGGCCGCTCGGTATTTTGCTCAGATGACGATTGCACACTTCGACGTACTTGCTCGCATCATCGATGATTTGCTCATCCCGAAGGCAAGCCAACGGATCGCGTCGGTGTTGCATCGTGCTGGATGGTTGCAGGCTCGTGTTGTCCCGATCAGCCAAACAGATCTTGGGGCTATGGCAAATGCCTCGCGCAAGCAAGTGAATGCGGCCTTGGCTCACTTCAGCGCGCAGAAGTGGGTCACAGTCGGCT